GGTGGTTCAAGCTCACCAGCTGCTCCTTGGAAACCCTACACAGGGTCACTATGGGTTGGAACTATGACTTGATAGCACTTCACAACAACAACAACAACAAAATCAACAATAATTCTCAAGAAATAAAAAACCAGCAGCCAGAATTTGACTAAATGCACTATATTAAAACACCCCTTTTAATGTGAAAAGAGGTATCAACTAAGATAATAATTTATCAATAATTACCCTAGATTGATAAATGTGTATCTCTCTGCAGTCCAACTTACGACACACTGCCAAACAATTCAGAAGAAATTTTAGGAAAAAAGAAAAACTAAAATACATAGGAATAAACCTGTTTGACTTGGGCATGCTGTTTATGACCATCGTTAATTTATTAATGAGAAGAGACTTAAAGGTGCTATCAAACTCCTAAAGCTTAGGGTAAGTGTACCTGCTATACTTACAAATATCTGTAAACTGGTGGCACTGTGGGTTAATGCGCTGTACTGCAAGTTCAGTTCGAACTGCAAAGTTGGTGGTTCAAGCTGACCAGCAGCTCCTTAGAAACCCTATACAGCGTCACTATGATTCAGAACTCAACAGCACTCAACAATAACAAAAATATTAGGAACAGGTGTATATACATACACCGCTCCATTCAAGTGTGTGAGCTTAATCATTTGGAACCATTCTTTTGCTTATCTTGATACAGTCACAAGTTACAGAACTGACAATTTGTGAAAATTATACACAAAATTCAGTAACTCAGAGGGGACCATACCAGATAAGCAGCACTTCTAAGAGAATGCAGTCTACACTGTTTATAATATTTGATATTGCTTCCATCAATATTCAATGCCAAATGGAAAAGCCAAGGAATCACTAGAGGCACTTGAGATCTTGCACCAAGAAATCATTTAATTATAATTTCACCATCATTTCCCATAATATTCCATATGCCTAAACCCTAAACGCTAACATTTTTTTAGAATTAATGAATAAGTGCTTCAAGTTGAAATACTAAAAATATCATTTGCATAGTTGCACTTTTGAGCTCCACTGGATACTCAATTAAGCCAGTCATTAAAAAACATATACCTTTCATCACAACAAATTGCATCTCAAGAATATAGTTCTAAATGTTGAGATATGCTCGATATTTAATTTAGTCTTTAAAACAGTTTTGCATGCTATTCTAAGAAAGTCATTATTGTTGTTAGATGCCATCAAGTCGGTACCGACTCATAGCAACCCTTCACACAACAGAATGAAACACTGCCCCGTCTTGTGCCAACATCACAATTGTTGCTACATATACTGCCACTGTGCCAACCCATTTCATCAGGGGTCTTC